CACTGTTTGATGGGAAAATTATAAGAAGAAAATAAAGAATTGAATTTATATTATTCTCTCTAACAGACTTAGAAAAAGAATAGATTATAATTTTCTCAATGTAATCTCTCTCTAACAAACTTAGAAAAAGAAATTACAATTCCTCTATATCGGTTTCCCGATTTACAAAAGAGAGAAGAGATCAACGGAGACTATTCCCTTTGTTTAACCTGGATTTTTCTCGGTATCAATGGGAGTGCAGATCCTTGTATCCCATTGACGATCTGAACGTTTCACCTCGTTGGAACATGATATCTTCCTCTTGATTGACATTGAGGAGAACTTGTATGGTAAGTTTGAAAATAACTCTTAACGAGTTATAGAACTCAGAGCGAGTTTAAACTCTGTAAAAGAGTTGATTAATTTAACCAGAAATCGGTTTCAAGCTAAGAATAAACTCCTTGTTGCTAAAATTAAAAATGCTCTCCGTTGAAGAATGATGAATGCCGAACTTCTTCTCCAAAGCTCTGATCAGAAAGATCATCTTTTCAAGATTGCCTCCTCTCCCCCAGCTCCGATCCTCCCTTTTTAGATCCAACAGTGAAACCCACTATTTATAGGGGTTTAATGGGTGTAATCGCCCCTTTAAATCTCTCCTTAATGAGGGTTTATGGGATGTAGTTGCCCCCATTAAGGGCCTGTTTGTTTGCACAGAAGTAATTGTGAAGTAGCTGAAGTAAAAGAAATAGAGGCTACTTCTGCTACTTTCAAGCAAAAAAGTGTGTTTGGTTATCTGAAAAACTTACTTTCAATACTTCCCTAAATGCTTATGTGGCGCCTACGTGTCATCTTTACTTTCAAAATATTTTTCCAATCCTCAATACTCAGAAGTAGCTCGGAAGTAGTTGAAATGCATATTGATTATGACATAAATAATTTTTTTATTAATATTTTCTTTATTAGTTACTTTTAACAACTTTTCATTGATAAAATTACTTCCTAATAATATTTCCAAATGTTATCTAAACAAAAAAAGTAAATGAAGAGGAAGAAGTTTTACTTCCATTACTTCTAAAAATATATGAAACAAACAAAAAAAATGCTATTTCTACTACTTCCTACTTCATAACTTTGAAAGTTACTTCTATAACCTACTTCTTACTTCTACTTCTATTATCCAAACGGGCCCTAAGTGGAAAAATGGTTTTGAAACCGTTTAGGTTCTGTTTGAACTAGTCAAACATGAAATTCACCTTCTGGAATGAACTCTGCATATTGATCCTGGGATGTAATGTTGGGCTCTGCGTATTGGGCTGAAGACGCAGCAATAAGCTCTGCATTTGGATTTGGAACGTAGCGATTAACCTTGCGTTTTGGGCTGAAAATGTAGCAATGAGCTCTGCATTTTGAATCTGAAACGCAGCCACGACCTCTGCGTCTTGAATCTGAAACACAGTCACGACCTTTGCGTCTTGATTTGAAGAGACCAACAATTTATAGTCTCTTTTGCTAAAGCGTTGCAAAGATCGTCATCTTGTAATCTTCGTCTTGGCTCCTTGAAATTATGAGAGTCGTCAGCTTATAACTCTCATTATTGATTGTGAATGTTGTTGAGTTAGAGCTTTTATCGGTTGTTGTGAAGGTTGTTAGATTATAACTTTCATCAATCTACGTGAAAGTTTTTAAATTGCAGCCTTCTAGAAGTCATCAAATTGTAACTTTCATCATTAGTATTTGATGAGGATCAGCTATTTGCAGTAATTTTTAGACAACCTACTAAACCCCCTCCAAAGTTTTCGAAAGATCACGATTGATTGAGACGAATTTTCGGAATACTTTGGATCTCAACTCTGATCTTGGAGATATTGATTCCTTGTCATAAAAGAGTTGTTCTCTACACCCGTTTCGAAGGCATCTTGGTTAAAGCGATTTGCCACGTAGGATCCGTGTGAGGATGAGCTTCAAAGAGAAATTGTAGCAACTGTATAGCTATTCGTGAGCAAAAGCTCTCAAACATCACGTCACGGCTCACATCCATTCAACTGATGGGCCCGCAAACATTCATAGGAATTTTGGCAAACTCTCAGCCATCAACGGATTTGATAAGCCTTTATCGACTACCATTTGAGTCGGGCTAGCATGTGGATTGTCTAAATCTGTTTCACATGTAACGTTGTGCTAAAATAATGAACTTAGTGTTTTGATATCGAATACATAGACTTTGTTAATTTCACGGGAATGGACTACCCGACAACACGTATTAGGCGTATGCTTATCTCTAATTAGGGATCGAGATAAAGTCTTCCATGCGTGAAAGGTATCGATTTTTATGCTACGATGTTGAATACGTAAACTTCATCATTATTGCGGGAATAGACCACCCGACAGCATGTGTTAGATGCAGACTAATTTCTAATTAGAGAACAAGATAAAGTCTCTCATTCGTGTAAGGCATGGATTCAGGTGTTATTAAAAACAACCTGCTACGATATTGAATACGTAGGCTTTTGTCATTTTCACGGGAAAAGACTAACCGACGATGCGTGTTAGGCGTAGACTTATCTCTAATTAGGGATCGAGATAAAGTCCCCCATGTATAAAAGGTATGGATTTAGAGATTATTAATTTAATAATAATCATTGACTATGATATTGAATACGTGGGCTTTGCCGCTGTTTCTTCCTGTGTTATGTTTTCACTTGAAACACTGAAAGAAAGTTAGAAGTGCCAGAGGTGTGGTATTAACTTGGCATGAATTTTCACTTAGAGTGAAGTTCAGAAATTTTCTTCATTATCACTAGGATAATTTTAAAAAATCTTTAATCCGTCGGGGATTTTATAATGAAAACTTGCTATTCTTGTGAAAAAAGACTAACAAGTTTATTGGGGGGTTTGACTATTAGAGGTGTGATGTTAACCTAACAGTATTTTATGGGCTTATAACAAGTTTATTGGGGGGTTTGACTATTAGAGGTGTGATGTTAACCTAACAGTATTTTATGGGCTTATCGCTCTATTGAAGAGAGTGATGTTAACCTAACAGTATTTTATGGGCTTATCGCTCTATTGAAGAGAGTCAATAAGTTGATTTGGTCATCAGAGGTATAATGTTAACTTGACGGGTTTGTGGATCTATCACTCTATTGAAGAGAGTCGATAAGTTAATTGTCAGAGGTGTAATATTAACGTGATAAGATTGTGGACCTATTGCTCTATTGAAGAGAATCGATAAGTTGATTGTCAAAGTTGTAATATTAACGTGACAAGATTGTGGACCTATCGTTCTATTGAATAGAGTCGATAAGTTGATTATCAGAGGTGTAATGTTAATGACGCCATCAGAGGTGTAATATTAACATGATGAAAGGATTGGTTGTCAGATGTGTGATATTAACGTGACAGAATTTGTTGTGATCGGAGTAACTTTATGGAGTTATCATCCTATTGAAGAGGATTGATAAGTTAATTGTGAGAGGTGTATTATTAATATGACGTCATTAGAGATGTAATATTAACGTGATTAAAGGATTGGTTGTCAAATGTGTGATATTAACGTGACAGAATTTATTACGATCGGAGCAACTTTGATGACTTATCATCCTATTGAAAAGGATTGATAAGTTGATTTGTTGTCAGAGGTGTGATATTAACGTGATAGAATTTGTTACGATCGGAACAACTTTGAAGACTTATTATCCTATTGAAGAGGATTGATAAGTTGATTGGTTATCAGATGTGTGATGTTAACGTGACAGAAATTTGTACTTGTGATTTGAACAAGATTTTAAAAAATTAGCATCTTGTTGAAGAAGTTTATAACTTAAGCAATTTTGAGGACCTATCATCCTATTGACAAAGATTGATAAGTTGATTGTCAGAGGCGTATTGTTAACGTGATAAATTGAGAGTGATGCAAGCTGAATTTATACTCCGTGGGATATAAATCGTCAAAAGTGTGATGTTAACTCGATGATGTTTGCAGATCTGCCATCCTATTAAAGAGGATTGAATATTCGTTACTCTTAATCCAGTGGATTCCAAACAACCAACCCCCACTAGTAGAAAAATGAGCAATCTAGACGAAAAATTCCATCTAAGTTGCTCCATTTCCCGTCTAGATTACTCCATATAGACGGATTTTCGTCTAGTTTGCTCCATCTAGTCTGATTCCATCTAGGTTGGCGCAAACTAAACGAAATTCCATCTAGGTTGACTAACCTAGACGGTATCAACCTAGACGGAATGTGAAAAACCATCTAGGTTGCAACCTAGATGAAATTTCGTCTAGGTTGCTTCTGCTACAATAGTTTTTTTTTTGCAGAATCTACGTTGCACGTTATATATTATCTAACATCAAATCATATTTATATCCAACACAATCTAATTATATTTAAATATCAAAGACAATTATATTCAAATAATACATTCATCAAAATACTAGAGCGAAACATAAATTATTTATATAGACAATAACTAATTTTTACGCGTCAAGGATTTATACAATAAAAGAGTTCGCGAAAGCAATGAGAAAGGTAAATTTACAGATGTGAAGAGAAGTAGAGACAAAGCAATATTATTCCTAATCAGAATAAAAAAAAAGGGCATCCTTCATCTCAGAGTAGTATACATTCTCTAGACGCATGTCCTCCTCCTGTATCAATACCAGATAAAAAATCTAAATAAGAAACAAAAAATCCAATAGAAGAAAGCAATGAAATATAAAACATAAGATCAGTGCATTATCATACAACGCCACCCTTCATCCATCTAATAAGACATAATGTCAAAGATCCTAAAAAGAATCAGTATAAATGTATAAGAAACCTAGTGAGGCAGGAAATAAAACAAATAACAAATAATGATAAAAGATGAACAATTTATTGTTACGATCTTGTTGATTAAACCAGAACTCCTAGTATTTTGTTATCCATTTACCACTTTACATACTTCGAAATACTTCTATTTTAGAAGCTCTTGAGACATAATCATACGAAACCTAATGTAACATGAACTACGTACCTGATTTGACCTGAGATATACCTGTTTGAGATGAAAAATAATCACACGAAACCTGTTTTCTGAGAAAAAATAAGCAAGACCTATAATAACCTGATTATTCATAAATTTATGAAATACGTACCTGAGTTAGCCAAAAATTCTTCTGAAACCTATAAAAAACATATAAATGACCTGAATAGCCATAAATACGTATATAACATAGCAAATTACATCGAACCTGATATTTATGTATGTTGATGAACTTTATGTGCAAAAATTCATTTGAAAATATGTCTTGACATCATGTCAAATAAATCAGCCACATGTATATACGAATTATGGTTGTGGGCTCAAAACTTGTTCAATATCATCATTATTAGCCATCCAGTACAATATCAATAGATATTGCAAGTTACTAATCTTAGAAAAATTAACAATCATCATAGCCTAAATTGAATAGCCACAAACAGTATCAAAATCAACAAATCCAACCGAACACCTGAACACAAATAGAACCAAGTGCCTGAACACAAACAACCCAGGAAAACATTACATGTAATTTGGTAAGATGAATATGGGACTTACCCCATTCAGATGGGAAAAGATCATTAGGAGACTTGTTATCGGTGAACTATGTTCCAAGAATCAATTCAGTCCCTCGAATCTGCAAAAGAAATGTGATACTAAGTTTAAGTTTTCCACTTGAATATGAATTAATATTTTGAACTATGCTCTCAGAGAAAAGAATGTTTTATTAAACTATTGACAACACTAGCTTTGGAAACATAATTAATGAGATACCTCTTAAAACTGACCAAAGCAACACACTACATAAGAATTGCACAATAAAAGTTAATGGACGCAGCTATAATGTAACAGAAAAGGTCAGAAAATTGCATCTAAGAGAATTCCTTCCTATTATCTTCTTTCTCAACTCATAAAGGCAGAATGCACTCAACATAACAAGTGTAAAGAACTATACCACATGAACGCGGTTAACACTCGCGGGCTAAGGCGCATAGGAGCAACACCAACTATACATCACTATTATTTTGTTTATAGCAACGCATCATTAAGTCTTGTCTGTCTAAAACTCCAATTACATTCAACTTAATCATTTTCTCATCTTCTTACTTCTAATCTAAATTAAAAGGTCATGCAATCATTTCCCTCAAATACAAAGCAATTTTCTGCATAATCACATATTTACCAAATATTTACCAAATATTCATCATAGTAAAAAGCAGTTAAAAGGCACAGATAGAATACACAACTGAAAACAAAGAATGTTACCAATTTTGTTGCTTTGAGAGTGTATCACTTCTGAAATCTCAGTGCTAGCAAGGATTGCACCAACTGGCATGTATGCGGACGAAAGAGCCTACAAATTCAATTATCAGAAACAATAAACCTCCCAGTTCACAACCTATGTGGAAAACAAGCAAGTGAATTGAGTGAAATATGTTCACATTGACTTAATAGTCATACCAGATTTAGGCAGAGAAGTACATTTATACATGATCCTTCAGTTCACAGTTATACATGATATCATACCAAATATTCATTCTATGTCAATTATTACAAATATTTCTTCATGACAAAAAAACACAGTTATAAATGATCCACTAACATATCAATCAAACTATTATAGACCATAACATATCAATCACATATCGATCAAATTATCATAATACATCAATCAAACTATTATAGACCATATTAAACCTTCATGCCGCAACAAAACATAGCAACACTATAAAACATCACATACCCATTGCCTCAGCCTCCATCCCCTTCTTGAAATGCCCTTTCATCAGATTCCCATACACAATCCCATCCTCGATCTGCCCTCCTCCCATCTTCTCTTTCATCTCTTCAAACAGCTCAATAACCCTATCGGGCTCCTTCTTCTTGACAAAGCCCGACATTATGTGGTTATAGACGGCAACGTCAGGCCCACAGAAGCCCTTGGCAATCATCTCGTCCTTGAGCTCCACGGCCCGATCGATCTTAGCATTATCAACCAGCCCTTTGGTGAGAATCCTATACGTCGTCAGCGAGGGGTTGATGGGGGCATCGTCTTTGATGAGGAGACGATAGTGCTCGAGGGCCGTATCAGGCTTGCGGCAATCGTAGTAAACTTGAAGTAGGAGGTTGTGGGTGATCACGGTGGGGGCCACCGACACCTAGGTGATGAACCGGTGGAGGGAAAGCAAGTCAGAGTATCGGGATTGCCTGAGGAGCGTGTGGAGAATGGCGTTGCAGGTGAAGATCGTCGGCTTGCAGTTGGAATAGATCGAGCGACGGACCAAAAGCGAGGCCTCATCGAGATCGTTGACCCCGATTAGGTTTAGGATCTCATTGTCGAGGTTGAGGCGTTTGCGAGCGAGGGCGGAGAGGGGTTCGGGGATCTTGGGGGCGTTAGGGTTTATAGGGGTTTTGGAGGGGATGCGTTGCTATTGAGGCTGGTGGAGGGAGGAGAGGGGAGGCCGTCGATGCGGAAGGTGGAGCTTGCGTCGCGACGGCTCGTGGCGGCCTCTTTCGGGCGGTGGCGAAGGAGAGGAGGGTGCGGGGGCGGGCGAGCGAATGTGCGAGAAGATTGAGAGACGGTGGGGGTGGGGGTACACGAAGAGGGGTAAAGAGAGGAGCCGAGAGAGGACGGCGGGAGGGAAGGGCGTCGGGGTGGGTAAGGGCCTGGGGTATTTACTCCGATGGGGGATGAGGGAGAGGGAAATTGGAGTTGGAGGCGGCGTGGTGGGGAAGTGGCATAGGTTAGGGTTTTGTTTTAATTTTTTTATTAATGGGCTGTTTGGTTCTTTTCTTAGATATATGAAAATGCATTTTCATGTATAAAAACACAAGTTTTGAATTTTTCAAACATTTTTAAAAAATAAATTGTTTCATTTTGGTTCGCACAAAAAAATGGTGGGAAACAAATGTATTTATTTTTCTTGTGTTTGGTTCGCATGGAAAAAAATGGAAAACTTTTGTTTATATGGCAAAAAGCTGACGTGACTGTAGTTTTCGTTGATTTCACGAGGTTGAGGAAGGAATTAGGAGAAAAAAAATCTGATGTGGTGGCGATTTTCACCGAGTTTCTCTTCTTCAACCCTAGCGAACCAAAGATTGAAAAAGAAACCGACGGAAAGCTTATATCCTACGTGGCCACGAAAAATCTGATGTGGAGGCGGTGTAAAACTTTTCCACCAAGTTAAAAAACGAACCAAACAGCCCCTAAACACAAACTAGACGGGAATTCTGTCTAGGTTGCCACGGGAATTCTATCTAAGTTGGCAACCTAGATAAAATTTCCGTCTAGGTTGCTTTTCAATTTTTAAAAAATAAAAAGCTTCCGTCTAGTTTGGTATTCTAGACAGAAATTTCCGTTTAGAATGCCGCAAAATAGACGGAACAATCTAGACGGAAATAATTCCGTCTAGATTGTTCCGTCTAGTTTGTTCGTTTTTCTACTATTACCCTAGTCTTGATTAAGACTTAGTAGGGGAAGAATTTTACCGTTGACAGAGGTATTTTATTGAACATGACAACTTAAAAGATTTGTTACTCTTAATCCAAGGGATTCCAAGTAACCAACCCCTAGTCGTGATTAAGACTTAGCAAGAGAAGAAAAAAGGGGTAGACATGGCACATCACATTATGGGTCACTATCCATCAAGTCGGAATAGAGGCACATCACCTGGTAGGCTACTATTTGATGAGTTTGATTATCAGAGATAACTGTTAACGTGATAGTTTTGGTGGATCCGTCATCCTATTGAAGAGGATTGGTGGGAGAATTTAGGAAAAATGGACTATGAGAGGTATATTGTTAACTTGATAGTATGGTAAACCCGCCATCCTATTGAAAAGGATTGGCTTCAGTGACCTAGTATCTTCTCCTTCTGATTGTGAAGATTGGGCTTGGTCCCACTGCTCAGGTTGATCCTGCTTACTTTGTTCTTCAGCTTTGACACTGGCAATAATTTTTTAAGCATGTTCATCTTGAAAGATTAGTTGTCTCTAGGAACGTCATTCTACAACCCTCATTTATACTAGAAGGTTGGTTTGCAAGTTGTGTCGACAGGTCTCCACTAGGGTAGACTGTGTCATACCTGACGAACATCGAAGAGCCATGCTTCAGAACCTCTTGACGAAGGCTTTGATAGGCTTCCTCTTCTTCTGCTTAGTGGTAAGAAGGTTATGAATGGAGACTTCTGTATCGTATTCAAAGAATCTTGACAGGAAGAGTCTTTCTAGATCCGCCTACTTTTGGATACATCCCGTAGGTAATTTCATGAACCATTCAAAGACAACCCCCTTGAGGGTGTCAATGAACAAACAAGTCAGTATAGCGTCGTTCGATATCACATTCTCAGTCTGTGATTTGAAATGATAGATATATTGGTTCGGTGATCTCGTACAGTCAAAAGCTCATAGCGTCGGGACTTCGAACTTTGGAGGATAAGGGGTTGTATCTCATTCGGCGGGATAAAGCCTAACAACTTCCTCATCTTGGACCTCGCTTCTATTGGCGATGACATTAAGACGAGCTTCCAATTCTTTTATTTTTATAAACTAGATATTCTGCTCGTTCTCCCTTCCTTCATCAGAGAAAGATTCCAGGTTGTAGGCTTCTTGGTCAGAAGCAGCATCATCAACCACTTTTCCCTTCTCTTTGCTTGTGTGAGGTCAGGTTGAAGACGATCTTCCTTTCCTAGAAGATTCTTGCATGAGTGGCGAACCTGTCTGCTGAGATTTAGCCTTGTCTGTGACGAATTGAGTCATTTGGATCCGGAGTTCATTGATAGCCTCATGTTGTGCTTTGATCATGGCTTGCTGCTCATCAAGTCTCTTCACGAGATCTTTAGGATATCCTGTCATATAAGCGGAGCTCTCATATTCTACAAAAGAACTAGAGGACTGAGACTCTGCGATAGCTGAGTGTTCATCATCAGAGTTAGTTCCTCTAGCCAATCTCCGATACTCAACAGGGGGTATGACTCCCTTTCAAGTCTGAGTGTGTTGATAGATTCCTTCAAACTCACTCCGTATACTTCTTATGTCCACCCATCAATCTAGTCATGCTACGAATAACCTAGTATGGGGATCTCACTGCCCGGTCAACAAGCCGAGGGTCTAGGGGGCAGCGCGTCCCTGGCTGGGGGGTCCGGGGGAGAAGTCGACCCCTCGGTGGGGTTCGGAGCAGCGCCCCAAAGGTCCACGATGTACGTAAGATTTTGTATTGAGTTTTATTACTTGGGCTCAATTCTATTTTCTAAAGTCCATGTCAGTCACTCTGAACACGACTTGACACATCGCGCAAGAAACGCGAGGGTCGTGTTTGGATTGAACGCAGGATTGAGGTCTACATTTTGCTGATGAAACGCGCCCCTGATGGTTGCGTTCTGGTGGATCCATGCAGCCTAAAGACTTACGTTTAGATTCTGGAACATTCTTCCAAGAACTGCGTTCAGGCTAATTAACGTGGTCTGGAGACCTACATTTTGGTTCTAGAACGCACTCCTGAGAGTTGTATTTTGTTTAGGAAACGCGTCCCTGATGACTGTGTTTTGGTGTTAGGACGCGTCCCTGAGGACTGTGTTTTGATTTTGGAACGCTCACTTGAGGGTTGTGTTTTAGTTGGATCACATGGAGCTTATACTTGGGCTCATCAACATGAGGTTTGCATTCTGAAGCAGAAACGCAGAGCTCTTGCTGAGGCTCACAAACGCATAGCTCGCGTTGATTGGAGGATCAATTCTCTTAGAATTTTGCTCATCATCAGGATCTCCTCCTTCATTGGACGATATTCTTCTTAGCCTATTTTAAGGCCTTTGTAGTGAGGTCATCTGCGTTGATGAAGCTTGTCGTCGCAATGGGCCTTTTATAATCCGATACCCATTGCTTTGGTGCGGGTGTGAGATCATTGACTCGATTGGCGAGTCTAGCAAAAGCTGAGTCCACTCCTTCAGAGGAGGGGTTGTTCAAGCAGTCTTGATTAAGGGGGAGGGCCTCTTTTGATGATTCAACAACATATGGAGCTCTGGTCTTGTTGGTGACCATGCGGACCTTGTGTATAGCCTTAGGGCTAAGGGATCCGTAGGATAGGGCTTCCTCATACTTGGCTTGATCAAACTCTACAACAAGAGTTTTGATCGTAGTTCCAGCGAGGTTGACGTCAGATTACGCCACCACTTCTTCGTCAGTGAAGCTAGTCCCTAACGAAGTTGTCATCTTTTATTTGATAAAAAATTAAAAGAAGAAAATAGAGAATTGAATTTGTATTATTCTCTCTAATAGACTTAGAAAAAGAATGGATTGTAATTCTCTCAATACAATCTCTCTCTAACAAACTTAGAAAAAGAAATTACAATTCCTCTATATCGGTTTTCCGATTTACAAAAGAGAGAAGAGATCGATAGAGACCCTTTCCTTTGTTTAACATGGGTTCTTCTCGGTGTCAATGGGAGTTCAGATCCTTGTATCCCGTTGATGATCCGAACATTTCACCTTGTTGGAACACGATATCTTCCTCTTGATTGACATTAAGGAGAACTTGTGTGACAAGTTTGAAAATAACTCTTAACGAGTTTTAGAATTTAGAGCGAGTTTAAACTCTGTAAAAGAGTTGGTTAGTTTAACCAAAAATCGATTTCAAGGAAAGAATAAACTCCTTGTTGCTGAAATTGAAAATACTCTTGGTTAAAGAATGATGAATGATGAACTTCTTCTCCAAAATTCCGATCAAAAAGATCCTCTTTTCAAGATCGCCTCCTCTCCCCAGCTTCGATCCTCCCTTTTTAGGTCCAGCGGTGAAACCCACTATTTATAGGGGTTTAAGAGGTGCAACCACCCCCTTAAATCTCTTCTTAATAAGGGTTTATGGGGTGTAACCGCCCTTATTAAGTAGAAAAACGGTTTTGAAACCTTTCAGATTCTGTTTGAACCAGTCAAATGTAAAATTCGCATTCTGGAATGAACTCTGCATCTTGATCCTAGGACGTAAAGTTGGGCTCTGCGTATTGGGCTGAAAACGCAGCAATGAGCTCTGCATTTGGATCTGGAACGCAGCGATTAACCCTACGTTTTGGGCTGAAAATGTAGCAATAAGCTTTGCATTTTGAATTTGAAACGCAGCCACGATCTCTGTGTTTTGAATCTGAAACGCAGTCACGACCTCTGCATTTTGATTTGAAGAGACCGTTAATTTATAGTCTCTTTTGCTAGAGCATTGCAAATATCGTCATCTTGTAATCTTCGTCTTGGCTCCTTAAAAATATGAGAGCCGTCAGATTGTAACTCCCAATGTTGATTATGAAGGCTGTTGAAATAAGGCTTTTATCGGTTATTGTAAAAATTATCAGATTATAATATTCATTAATCTACGTGAAAGTTTTTAAATTGTAGCCTTCTAAAAGCTAACAAATTGTAACTTTCATCATTGATGTTTGATGGGGATCATCTATCTACAGTAATTTTTAGACAGTCTACACCCACTCAAAGAACCAGACATAAAGTTGGGG